TTTTCATCACCTGATTTGGCCACTCCTTCCCAGAAGCTTGCCAGCTTACCTTTTCCAAAGCAGAAGAGTTTGAAACATACTTCTGGGTAGTTTTGCACCCTTGCATAAAACATCTTGTGTGGTAGAAAAACCAATGCCTTTTCCAAAGCATCCTTGGATGTCTTAGGGCGTATGCATGGCACCTCCACCTCAATGGACTCAGCAAGTTGCACGTTTGAGCAAAAGTGGCCCAACAATTGTTCATGCACATTCCCTGGTTGGGCTCCCCAATTGCCTGTTTGTGCGATTGCAGCTAAATCTGTATGTTGTGCACCATCTTGGATTGCACAGTCAGCTAACTCTTTTATCAAGGTTGCACTTAGGGCACCCCTTGCCCACAGAAATAAGAGTTTGTTTGCCAACACCGACTCTGCCAGGTTTGGCTTGCTTTGTCCTCCCTGATTACATTTCTAGCTGCCATCCCCTAAGCCTTTTTGCCATGGACACCTCCTTTTCCAAAGAGGTGTCAGAAAGCCTCCTTTCCCAAAGAGGTAGAACAAAACTCTCTTTTCGCAAAGCGGCTGAAACAAAACACAACACACCCAAAGAGGTGAAGCGGTGAAACATATTTTGAGCATTACAAAACAGCTGCAGATATTAAGCATATATGCAAACTTGTGAAACCTGGTGGTATATGCACAAGGCCCCTTGACAAAGGGGATTTGAATCAATGTAGCCTAGCTTTTTTCGTGCTCACCCTTGCTCCAGCTTTTTCCTCTAGACTCTAGTCCATGTGTCCCATTTTGGGACTGCTGTTCTACAGCTACTGACATGCACAACCTGCCCTTTCCCAAAGGCTGCTCTTTCCCAAAAGCTTGGTGCTCTTTTTCAAACGTTTCTTGCTCTTTTCCAAAAGCTATCATTTGCTGCTTCTGGACCTTTTGCTGGCAGCCACTGAAGCCTCTTTGTTGGCCAGTTGTTTTAACTCCTTTGTTTCATCCTTTGCTCCTTTCACCACTTTGGCTGCCTCCCCCAGCATCTCCTTCAACTGGGAAGCCTTCAGTACTCTTCCATTGAGCACTGCTTTCAGGTCCTGCAAGGCTTTGCTGAGGGAGGCAGACCAGCCCTGGGAAGCCCTCGCCTTTCCCACTCAGCTTGGGGCTGGCCTTTCCCAAAGCCTCTTCCAAGTCACATTGTGCACTTGCAACTTGGTCCCTAGCCTTGATGGCCTTTTTCAGACCCTCCTTCATTTCTTCTTCCTCAGTGGGCTTATTCTCTTTTTCATTCTCTTCTTCTTCAGCATCTTTGTCCATGGTGGCCAGTGGGCCTTTCCAAAGCCTTTGCCTTTCCCTTTGCCTTTGATTCCTTTGCCCTTGCCTTTTCCAATGCTTTCGCCTTTCCCAAAGCCTTTGCCAGCAATATCTTCAAGACCAAGCCCCATGGATTCATAGTCGTAGAGCTGGCCGAAGGACTTGTCTTGCCCAGCATTGGGCTCCATCTCCTTGCCCTGCTCCCACTTTTTCCCCCTTCTAACAGTGACATCACCAGACCACTCCTGATTGTCTTTGTATTGCCAGACATTGGGGGTATGAGCGTCCGGTCTGTACACAATCCTGCCACTATAGCAGTGGCTCTCAAATTCTTCCCAAACTTGTCCAGCATTTGTTTCTCACTTTCCCACTTGTTGCTCTTTCTCAAAAGCTCAGTGGCTGAGATGCTCTTGCTGACATGCGTGTATTTTTGCCTTCAGTTTCCATCAACCATTCTGCTGCTTTGATGTCCTTATCCTTTTTGCTGAGGGTCTCAAACTTGTTCAAACCTGCCCCAGACTTGTGAATGCTCATCCTGTTCCAAGGATGACTTCAAGGCAGCAGCTTGTTCCTCTAGAGTCTCACCACTCTCAGCTGCTGCCTCAATCTTTTGGTTCAATGTCATCTTACCCAACTTTCCGAAATTGGATTTGTTCAGCTTGTTCTTCGATTTGGCCTTTTCCACAGCCTTTCCTTTTGCTTTTGATTGTGCCTTTCCCAAAGTTTTCTTAACAGGTTTCGCTACACCTGTCTTCATCACCTTCATGGCCTTCATAGCTTTCATAGGCCCCATTGCACCTTTTGTATCTAAAATCATTAGTGCTAGATCTGGTTGTTTGAGCCAAACCTAGTTGATACTCAAGAATTTCACAAAATCAAAAACGTTATCAAATCTTATCAACTGCTCAGGTTTGGGAAAGCCTGGCAATTGTTTGTGATAATTGAATACATAAAAAATATAGACCAAAATATAGACTTGATAGAGTAAAGAAATGGAAAAATAGCAATTTAATATGAAACAGAAATATAACACATAAATGAAACAATTTAAATACAGTAAAATAGATACATGGTAATATGCAATATATATACATTATAGTTAAATACTATATAGCTATTATTTGTACTTTATATTCAGATTTCATAGTATTATGTGTTCTTCACATATTTCTGTCAACAGTACATCAAGCCTGCCCATTTTAGGCCAGCTTGGTTCTATACACGCATGCGTGGCCTTTTCCAAAGCCTTGGGGTGCCTTTTCCAAAGCCTTAGTGTGCCTTTTCCAAAGCCTTTTGCGTTGCCTTTTCCAAAGCCAGTGTCTTGTGCAAAGCCTTTTCCAAAGCCTTGCTGCAAGCTGTGTGTTTGTGAAAACCATGGATGATGGCAGTGAGCTGCTGCAGATTGCATAGCATCGAATGCCAGCGCCTCTGCGTTCATCAATGATCTCTCAGTCCTGTGCCGGCAGGTGTGGCTGCCTGCCAGCCTCCTGGAGGCTTGGGATGGCAGCATTTGCTAGGTGTCCCAATACTTGACCAAGTCTGGACAAAGCTCAGTATGTGGACTGTGCAATGGTCCAACAGCTGCTCCAGCCCAGTCAAAGCTGCTGCAGTCACCACATTGTTCTTCTCAAGGGTGTTGCGCCAATCAATGACAATGATTGGCTTTCTGGCCTGCAGCACAATCCTGGATGCCTTTTCCAAAGCAGGGTTCCCGGATGAAATCTCCATTTCATCTCCTGACCCTTTCCCTTTTCACCCTTTCCCTTTTCCAAAGGAGGCTTGGCATCATCTCCCTTTTTTAAAGGAGGCTTCTCCTGAAGCTTGGCAGCGTCTCCCTTTTCCAAAGGACGCTCCTCCTTGAGCTTGGCAGCATCTCCCTTTTCCAAAGGAGGTTCCTCCATGACACCCTGTCCCAAAGGTGTGAAGCCAAGGACAGCTGGAGCCCTTCAACCAGCTGCTCTGCAGTGCCATCCTTGGCCCTCCTGGTCCTCCTGACAGAAGCAACCTTTTCCAAAGTTGCTTCTGCCTTTTCCACAACCTTTTCCAAATCTGCAGCTTCATTGTCTTCTGCAACCTTTTCCAAAGTTGCAGCCTCTTCCTTGGGGCCTTGGACTTCCTGGAGCTCTTTGACCTGGACCTGGAGCTTGAGGCAGAGCAGCTGTAGTAGCTTTCCTCCTCCTCCTCCTCCGCTTGCTTCTTCTGCTTCAGCTCCTTCAGCTTCTTTTCTGCCTTTGCCTTGGCCTTTTCCAAAGCCTCCAGGTGCTCCAGGTCCTTTTCAGGGTCTGCTTCTTCTAGGTACTCCCATTGCTTTTGCCTTCTATTGTGATGGGTAGTACCTGACCCTGAAGCCCTCATTTTGCAGTTGTAGCCATAGTAGCCATACCTGCTCACAGGCCAGCTCCGCATGGCTTCAGGGCTTTTCCAAACCCTGGGCTTTTCCAAACCCAAGCTACAACTGCAACTACACTAGGCTCTAGTGCTGTGTGAAGTTGTCAGTGAAATGTTTGTGCTGTAGTAGCAGTGTGTGTGCGTGTGCTGCCCTGACTGGCTGTGTGTGTGTTGCCCTGGCTGGCTGTGAGTGTGTGTGTGTGTGTGTCCACTCCTGTTTCCAAGGACACTAATCTAGCTATTTCTTTTCCTATGCCTTTACAAACCTCTGTACAGCACCAGCAGGGGGCACGGAGACTGATTTCCCATCCGTGCCAACGAAGCTACGGAAATCAGTCGGAAGAGAGCTGGGACGCCGGCTCTTGTACCTGCATATTTGTTTAATTCGATATGTTCAAACCTTTCTGTTGACTGACTTTGCACCTTCATTTAGTCAAGGTCTAATCTGAAGTAATTCTAAAGAGCTAATGCACTCCGCGAAGCAGCCTGAAATCGCGCTCTACGGAGCAACCTTCTCAAGTGTGTTTCCGCAGCTTCTTCCCACTGTGGTAAGCTGTGTGATCCCTGCGGGGCGCCGTTACTGCAAGAACCTTCTCACTCCTCATCGCAGGAGTAAGTTTCCTGAAGTTTTTACTGAAGTTCACTCGACCGAATTTTCCTGCTCGAAATCAGCTTGCTTGGATTGTCTCACCCGGCACACGTGAAGTTTACTGCAGAGTTCACTGATTTTTCCACTGAAATATACTGCAGAGTTTGACTGCATCAGTTTCACCCGAGGATCCTTCTCATATTCATTTTTCAATTTTCATTTTTCAATTTCAGAGATTTAATTAGAGTCAGTTGCACACTCCTCCACTTTGCAGCATCATATTGTATTCTATCGTATAACCTTTTCAAGCTCAAGTTCAAGGACTGCTTTGATTTATTTATTTACATACAACGACCTCATTCAATTTGCCGAGCTGCCATGACGTATCCCTGGCCGTATTCACTACCACCACACCTACAACAGCAACCACAGCCCACGCAACCACATTG